TTCTGGATAATATTATTGCATAATAATTGTATATATTCGATATTTGGATTCAAGTTATTTCTATTGATGGGTGCCAAATTAATTATGCTTTGCATCAAATTTTGTAATTGCATTATGTGCTTAATGTTGGTTAGTATTACAAATAATTAGAAAACTTGAGTTTCGAAGCGATTCAATCTATCGCCAGGGCGATAAAATTACGATAATGGCTATTACTAAATTGGCTATAAAATGGGCAAACAAAATAAATAAACAAACCGGAAATTTCAATAGGAAAAAAAAGGTGAATTGAATTGAATTACATTGGTTGCTGCTCAAGTGATTTAGTGCTGGGAAAAAAAGCACAGCTGTCGCCTGGTTACAGCCCTGTTGCCACCTGGGCGCAATCAATCAGGCAGCGAAAGCTCTTAAATTGCATAAACGGCTCATTAGATGCGGCTGCCACAAAAGCTGAATGTGTGCATTGTCTCCTATAAAACTGGTTGCACACCTCTCAGCTCTCAGCAATTGAAAAGGGGACCACAACAAGATTTGCGAGCAGCCGTTCGGTGTGTGTGTGTGTGTGTGTGTGTGTGTGTGTGTGTGTGTGTGTGTGTGTGTGTGGGTGTGTGTGTGTGTATTATAGCTGCGACATTGCACTTAAGTTGTTTGGCGTCTAGCTAGCGGCACGGCGTCCATAACTTATGGCTCAAGTGCGGCAGCCCCAAAAAGTAGGCAATGAAATTTGTTTTATGTGCCAATTGCTGACAAACGCAGCGGCCATTAGGCACACAGCCAAGTCAGACCGACAAACAGACAGACCGACAGACAGACAGACAGGCAAGCAGCTTATCCGACAGTTAGTCAGGCATTAATTTGATTAAACAATGGGCAACAGCAGCAGCATCAAATTATAATTGAAAGGTGTGCGAACGGGCGAACGGGACGTCGTGACTCTCGTCAGCCATTGAGGCCATTAAAAAGAGCTCAGAAACCGGCTAAAGCCAATCGCACAATTCGACCGAAATGGGCATAATGAGCAAATGCCACACGGTAATCGATTTGAGTTAACCAATTCCGGTCGCCTAATAGCCCTAACCCCCCTCCCCTCGGCTACAGTTTCGGAGCATTCGCTCTGACTGCGGCTGTGGCTTTGCCAGCTCCTTGCGGCTGGCCTAATGCCAACAACGGACGAACGGGCCAACAGGCGAGTGCTTGGGCCGACTTCGATATACCCTAGATGATGTGCAGCTGGCAAAAGTACAAATTTATGCTTGACAAAAGATGCAATGTTTCCCGGAAAGTAAAAGAAAGTTGCAAAAACAAGAGAAAAAATAGGTATTGTTGCTTTGGTTCGGTTCATTGTTGGCACCAAGTGGAACCGGTTCGCGGAACTAGTTTTTTGAATCCATGAGCCCGGATTTGGCCTCCCTTCAAATCTAGCAAAAAATCTAGATACATAATTATAATCGATACTTATCGATATTTAAAAAAATATTTATATATATATATTATGTGGGCTGGCAGTTGTTGCCTTCTGCCTGTAACATACATAAGCTCAGCTGCATGCTACCCTCTATACACATTTTTAATAGGCATTGGATAAAACAAATAACAAAAACTTTGAGCTGCAACTTTTGGCAATACACCAAGGTGAGGTCAGGGGCGCCGACGGTTAAGCAGGCCAAAGGCGGGGGGGGCTGGCAAATTATAACTCAAGCTCGATTTAGTTTTTGTTTCTGTTTTTTTTTTTTTGTAACATGTGTGTGTGTGTGTTGTGTGTGTGTTTGTATTTGGCCCTTAGCAATTCCCCAGACGCCGGCTATTTATGATATTTATAGAAAATACATTAACTCGGTTTTAGAGTTGCGACAGCGACTGACGGTAAGCGGTGGCAAGAGGCAAGATTAACAGCGGATTGAGGGGCGGGGCGGGGCGGGTGCGGGGCGGGGCGGGGCTAGGCATGAAAACAATCAAAATCCCTACGACAGAAACGCATTATGCTTAAATTGTTTCATAATTGATTGATCTGCAAGGAACAAACACACACCACACACACACACACACACACACACACATCACACACACACACACGCACACATTAAGATACAGATACAATCAGTCTGATATACAGATACAATATACAGGGGGTGGCGGGGGTGCTTGAACAGCTTAGGCGCTTCAATGATTGTTTTTGGGCCAAGCTACTGCCCCAAGCCCATAGACAACGCGTTAAAGGGTATACAGGTTCTGCGTATAAATGTATATAACAGGCAAAAGTGGACTTCGCATAATGTATATATATTCCTGATCTGGTTGATAAGCTGAGTCAATCGAGACATTTGCCTGCGTCTGTGCATCTTTGTGAAAAGAGAGGCTTTCAATATGAAATGAACATAATCATTTCATGTTGATCAATCTTTTGTTCGATATATTCATTCATTTTCATTATATCGATATATCTTATATGTATATAACATATGTCGCCCTCTATTCCCCCTAGAATCGAAATACACTTCGTTCTTAGAGGTAAAGCCTTGCCCAGCCATGAAAACCTCCTGAAGATCGGACTATGGATACCGAAGTTAATCGACAATGAAGGCAAGAGAGAGAATAAGCACGAGCGCTGTTTGTGTATTTTGGAATAGACTATTTGTTTTGAGTTTTTGTAATTAAATTTAAATTAGTTAATTAATTAAAGTCGGGAATATTTGTAAGTGCAGCTTGACACTGTTTCCAGGGTATCTACAAGTCGGGCACACTCGACTAGAGCACTTCTTTTTTTTTTTTTTTGTATTTTAGCCTAGCTGCCAACCGCAGAACATTTGCTTCGCTGTCTGATGTCAAAATAATTTCGATGACGCCCTCAACACAAACGGAGCGTACAACTTTATGGGCAAGGAACGAGGGGAGGGGGGAGGGGGGGGGGGGAGTCTGTGGCTAGGGGCCACACGAGTTGAGTTATTTAGACAGATTTTTGATAGCCGGCCGCCTTTTGCCACGAAGCGCGTGCCTGAAATTGAGTTTTGATTTGAAACCCAATTTGCCATAATGCGATGCGCACGAACGTTGACACTGCGACACAATTCGATTGATTTCACAGCACATTCGTTAGTTTCCCATAATCGTACAAATACATAGCTATATATATATATATATATATATATATATATATAGGTATATATGGGTATTTGTGTGTGTGGCCTAAATGCTTTGGCCACTCGCTGCTTTTGATGTTTCCTTGCGTTTCACTAGGCATTAGTTAATGTATCGAGAATGTTAACAAACACAGCGACATGTGTGTGTGTGTGTGTGTGTGTGTGTGTGTGTGTGTGTGTGTGTGTGTGTGTGTGTGTGTGTGCCACTCGACAGCCTTCGTGGCAGGCGTGTAATTAATCTGAGCTGCATAACATCGCATAGTCGCGAATACGGACAATATTTGTTCGCTGTCTTGAGCATTAAACGGCCCTCGGGCGGCCCTCGGGCTAGGCCAGCCCCTTGCCCCTTTCATGCCTTGCCCCTTGCCCCTTGCCCCTTGCATGCCTTGCAGCGGGGCAGCCACGTGTGCCACACAAAGGGTGTTGCCCATATCTCGAATGTAAATAGTTGATTTTTACGGCATCCATAGGCTAATGCGCTGCCTGGAAAACAACAACAACAAGCGACAATAGCCGATAGATGGGCGGCTGATGCTTGTAATTCGCAACTAGTTATAGACAAGTCCAATTCTCACTGATCCAGAATATACATATATATATGTATATATGTATATTATTTGCCAGCACTGCTGTATAAGGGAGGATAAGGTCCTTTGCTTGGCTGGGCAGACAATGCAGTCACATAAATTAAAAAAAAAATTGGCTGCCGGTAGCAAAGTGTGTGTTCCATGTTGTAATTCCTTTTGGCATTTGTGACCTACAACAGCATTAACACGCCCGAAAGTCGACTGCGTGAAAGCGAAAGGGATAGTCATAGAGAGCGAGAGCGAGAGCGAGTGCGGTAAATTAATGATATTTTACATACATCTTAATTGCGTGTCGCTGGCTTTTTGTTGGCGCATCCTTCGGGCCAATTGGCCGGCCCGGGCCCGGATCCTGGCCCGAAGTGCCTGTCGCCTGACGCTCTGCGCTTGTCAGCCAAGTTGCTTAGCCCTCGAGCTGCTTATAATTTATTGAAAGCGCGCCGCTGAAACTGGGCCTATAAGCCAGCGCAGCGCAGCGCCACGCCCCGCCCCGCCACGCCTCGCCGCCCTCGCCACGCCTCGCCGTACAGTCCTGTCGCCAATTGGGGGAAATTGCAAAATCAACGCGCTCGCAAATTGAAAAATGTTGTCAAGTGGGCGGATATCGAGCAAGCAAAAGGCAAAAAAAAAAAAAACAAAACAATTAACAGAGCTCGAGTCGGGAGCGCCCGACTAGAGGATACCCTGTATCACATTCCACACTCCATACTAAACTATAGAGAATCGAATAGAAATCCATTTGGCATTCCTTTGGCTCACAAAAGCTTTCAGATTTGTTGAAATAGCCTAAACTAATAATCGATATATTAGTCGAGGAGTCGCAGATGCCTACTATTATATACACATTTCCACACAATAATCCGACACTTTTTGGGCCCATTTGCAGGGTATCAGAAGAGAAGAAAAAAATAAAAACAAGTAGAACAACAAGAGCAGGAGCAAAAATATAGACGACGCTTGGCCTTTGCCCGCCCGTTGACAGTTTGTTAATTAAAACCAGCAGCCGGTCAGGCGGCGGTCAACTGGTCATCCAGTCATCCAGTCATCCAACCAGTCTGCCGGGCTGCTGTGCACTGAGGCGCTCAGTCAACGTCTCAAACGCACACACACACACACAGAGAGAGGAGGACTCAGCTGAACCGATTCGTGATGCGAACAGAGAGCTCTGCAGTTGGCAGACGGAAAGCGTGAGTAGTCCGAGTGCTAATAAATTGCCCAGCAGGATGGGGGGGGGGGGGGGGGGGGGAGGTAGTGTATTTGCACGCCAGCTGTTACTCACCTATCGTTGTAATCAATGTGAGGGAGTAGAGAAAGGCCGAGGCGTAGGTCCATTTGTGCGTCGGTGCATTCATTTGCACGCCGCCGGGCTGATATACCTTCGATTGGCGCACCGCACGCAGCAGAGTGTCCTGCAAGAATGAAGCAATAGCCACAGCACACACACACACACACACACACACACGCACGCAAATCAGTTTGGAATTACAGGTGTAAGATCAAGCGTACACGCACCTGAAATAATTGCACCTCCTGGGCGGCGAGGCGTGTCCAGTTCTCCTTGTAGAGTATATTGAGATCCTCCGTTATTGACCAAAGCCGATCAACAGTTCTGCAATCATTGATCATACTTAGTCATCCGAAATATATATAAAAAACAACAACAGTTACACGCACCTGGAACGTATCTCGGCATTGGCCAGCTCGGTGCGCGGATATGGCTTAGATGCGGCCACAGCTGTTTCCAGTGCAGTCGCATCCTCCAGCTCGCCCTCGAGCGTTACAAATATTATGGAGCCCATCGCCGTGTACAGCAGTACCAACAGCAAAACACCTAAGATACATAGAGAGAGAGAGGGGGGGGAGAGAGTGGGATAGAGCGTAAGTAAGTGTTAGACAACGCTTGATTTCACATATCCTATGTTGAAGTAGAAAATATCTCATTGAGCCAAGGTTGATTTAATTTATTTGATTATCGAAATCTTTCTGTGTCCATATTCCAGATTCGATAGCCCTGGAATAACCCGGCAGGGAAAAAACGGGGTTTTTGGCCAGCTGGACGAAGGTTGACTTTAGTCAAATATATCTTCAGATCGATAAGTCTCGAATCTTAGTTTCGATTTTTCGATCACCCAAATGTGTTATGCATATAATTTGATATATAGAGTTTGTTTCTATTTAACTTTTGTGCTGGCAGTCCACGTTCATGCTAAAACTATGCATACATTTGTGTGCCATATTTCAGCTCGGAAAGTTTCACAGGAATTGGCCGACAAACAACAAAGTGCGGACAAGAAGAAGAAGCAGCAGCAGCTTGCGGCATTTGTTACTTGCCCTTTTTTTGTTTTTTTCTTTTTTCTTTTTCTTTGTAGGTGGCGGTAAGTTTGAATGTGCGCATCCACAAGTGCTACACTACTGCGGGCTGGGTTGGGTCCTTATTGAATCAACAGGGCTTGCAATCGGATGCAACTGTGCAGCTGACGTTTGGAGCAGGAAAGGGGCCACACTCACCTGTCGCTGATACGCAATGCGATTTGGGCGCCTTTTGGCAACCGCAGAAGACGCTGCTGCTGATGCTGCCGTTGCCCTCCCGTTGCTTGTCCGCCTTCGCTGTGGCCGAAGGGGATCCGCTGCCGCTGCCGCTGCCGCTGCCATTGCCGCTGCCGCTGCCATTGCCGGCGGCGCCGGATGAGCTGCTGGCGCCCTGGGCGCCATTTGTAGCGCCGCCTGCGAAGCACATGCTTGAGCCGCTCTGGCGACCAATACGTGAATTGCCGCCAGCCACGTTGCCAGTTCCTGGGCGGCTGTTGTTGTTGTTTCTGCTGCTGCTGCTGTTGCTGCTACTGTTGTTGCTCTTGGTGAGAAAGGATGCGAGCGGCAATGAGGACTTTTTGTTCATTGTCTCACGCGCTGCTGGTCAAACGAACTGGCGCTCCAATTGCTGCGGCAGTCAATCAATCTGGCGCAAAGCCTGCCCTCGGCTGGGCAAATGACCAACTGATCAAATGGCCAAATGAGCGAATGAGCGAATGACCGGGTGACCGGGTGACCGGCTGAGCGTGTTGCAATCAAATCAAAAGCTTTGGCACATCATGTGGCAAGTAATTTGCATCCTACCGCCTTCTGCGCCTCCGTTTGGCGTTTACCGCTTTTGTCGCTTCGCGTTATTATGTGACCGTCGTAAAATCTTGTCGACAGCAATGAAAATGTTGTCGTTGTTCCTGTTCCTGTTGTTCCTGTTGTTGTTGTTGTTGTTTTTATGATGCTCGCAAATGTTTTTGGGCGCTGTGACAAAAATTGTCGCCGGATGCTGCAAATGCAAAATATTTTCGTGAAAAACTGGCAAAATGAAAATGAACATTGCGATTCTGGGCGCTCGCAAACACACACCAACACACACACACACACCAACACACACACCAGCACACACATGTGCTGTAGACAAATTGCATGGCAGATGCGTAATTGAGTTAGCAGGCAGCAGGGGAAGTTATATCACCTGCTGGCATATTAAGCCGATACATTGAATACCCTACAAAAAATGCGACAAAGAGACTCGCAAATCACCACTTTGCTTAAGAGTGTTGGCTTTGAGTGAGTGTTGAACAATACTGCAGAGTTCGTGTATGAGTATGACACAGTGTTGCACAAGTTTTGAAAAGTTTATGAAATTGTCGAAATAATGTATTTATTAATTAAAATTTCCTATAAGTTCGCAGATATTCGTAAAAGTGGTGTCACAGTGTTGCACAGTTTTGCAGAAAAAGTGCTGCACAGTTTTTCGAAAAGTGCGAATTTACTGTCCAAAAGCTGAAATAATGAATTTTAATTTAAATTTCTTAAAAGTTTTGAAAATTTTCATTAATTTTGAGCACGTGTTAACGCATTGATTAAGTGTTGCACAATTGCGCAAAGTTTGAAAAGCTCATGAATTTCTGTGCATATTTTTATCGTAATGTTTAAATAATGTATTTCGTATTAAAAGTTTCTAATGGCTTCCATAAATTAAGTAGACTGGCAAAAAGAATTTATGTAATACTTTAACGTAACAACAAGGCAAAGTTCCAGTTAGCTTTGACGTCAACTTAAGATGTTATGTCTCACATTTTTATACAATATCAAAATATTAATGCACAGATTTTGTCGTAATCGGCAAGGCATCAACGGAAAATCCTTTTGAAGTTCATATTAGTTAACTGACAGTTAAATTTTGTCAGATAGTTCAAGTAACATTTACATGCTGCAGAAATAAAGAAGCACATTTACATAACTCGCAGCTTGAAGACTTGGCAAGTGAATTTTAACATCAATTTAGCAGGAATGCTAACTGTTTAGCATAATTTTAACACGAATGTTAACTGTCCAGTTTGAATTTAAATATGAAAACAAGCTTAATGAAAACCAAGTCTAGTTCGTTGACGTGACTGTTAACTTTGACGGCAAATGAAGAACCTAACGAACAGCCTGATGAACTGATATCAAAATTCAAATAACAATAACAGAATCAGCTTGACAACATGTTAAAGTGCCTGTTAAAAGAAGTGTTAGAAAACAGGGAGTTCTCTAGCTTTCGCTTATCATCTCTAAGCTTAAGGAAGTTTTATTATAAGAAAAACACACATAAGTGAATATGTTTTCTATTTTAATTATATTTTATTATCATAGAGAGAGGAGCTCTAAAAGCTTTAAAAACAATTCACAAGCCAAGGTCCAAGATCTTGTCTCATGCTAAGTTAATGTGCCCGCTGCGTGGCAAGGGTATGGAACAATAATAACAGCAGCAGCACCAGCAATATGTGTGTCCGTTTATGTATGTGTGCCTGTGTGTGTGTGTGTGTGTGTGTGTGTGTGTGTGTGTGTGTCGTGTGTGTGTGTCGTGGGTGTTGCTGTCGCGTTATCTGATGAACATGAAGATGGCCGGCATTTAAATTAAAGATTGTCCGACAAGCACAAGCAAAAAGTTGTCGAGTTGCTGTTGCCCTCAAGTTGTTGTTGTTGTTGTTCGTGTGTGTGCGTGTGTGTGTGTGTGTGTTTAGTGTTGTTGTTGTTGTTGTTGTAGTTGTTATTGCTGAGAGCACGTGTGGCACTTCAATTAGGAGCCAGTTAACATTTTGTGTGCTTATGACTTGCATTTTTGCTAGCTAATTCGCAATGCTAATTATGAAAGGCCGCCGCATAATCACGGCACGTTTTCACACCACACCCAACACGCACACACCCCCACACACACACCCCCACACACACACACACACACAGATAGAGAGACACACTGAACGGGTTATGGGCAAGAGCCGAGCCGAGCGGCAGATTTGCGGATTATTGAAATGATAGGCGTAAAGTGAATAACGGCTATAACGAGTCGTATTAAATGAATCAAATGAATTAACAGCGCTCACCAGCATTCATTTTATTCACACACGCACACACACACACTCATATGCATATGCATTAAGCATTAATTTCGTTTAAAATGCAGTTGAAAAATCATTTTATAAAGCACTTGTCATATCGAAAGCTGCTTGTGTATCGCATGTGCAGATATTTTTAATCTATATTCGTGTACTATATGTGTATATATATATATATATATATCTGTGCAGCTATAAGCCGCTTAAGTCTTGCACGGCAATCAGGCAAAAGCTGCTGCCCATTAATGCTCGCTAATAGGGCAAACACTTTCGAAATTGAACAGTTCTAATCGATCGATCAAAGCGCTTTGATAGTCCTTTGAAAGGATTTCAATGTTGATATGCCGAATAAAATAGAAAGGGACACAGTCTGGGACAAAGCTAAGCATATCAAAGTCGGGCGGCTAATAAATATATATCAAAAAAGGAGGAATATTCTTTTGAAAGATTACAGCTAAATCCTTCGGCCAGAGCTGGGCTCCACAAATGGAGCCTACGAAAAACTCTAAGCTACAAGCTTTGAGGTAGGCTTTCCTTGGACAATAAGAATCGTTGGCGCCAAGATTGGTGAATTGTTTCATATGAGAACTTCTTTTATTCGACCGATTGGAATATATTTGTCTTATGTCAGATAATAATGCCCATTGCTGTATATAAGAATTCACGGGATTTACACACACATCATCTAAAGCGTATTATCTCGCCAAGCTGCGCTTCATTTCACGCAAGGAACCAGCCACATGGACTTCATATTTTCACACATCTTATAACAGATTCTTTCTCTCTTCAAACTCGGGAACTATGCGAGCTAGAAATTTTATTTATAACTGCTGCAATTGCCCCCCAAATGCCATAAAAAGCTACACATGTCTCAAGTCTAAGTTGAGATATTTAGTTCAGGTATATTAATGCGTATATTGTCTCAGTTTTGACAGCCCAAAAGAAATCGGTTGACTTTGAAGAGTAGACGAAAAAAAAAAATGCATATGTATATTAAAAAACAGCCTAAAAAGGCAGTGCAAAGATAGCTTTTGCCAACTTTGAACACTCCAATTGTAGGTAGACATAACCTTTTTTTGGGGTATTCGATATTCGGTGCTACGCAAAGCTACGCCTTAAGCCTTATAAAACATCTGAGCACATGTGTCAATCATATGCGCTCAGCCAGAAACTGTCTCCAGCATCGGAATGTTATTGAAATTATACTTGTGCGTTTGATACCCTATCGAAGGGTATCATAAATTTGTCACATAATGCGGAATACATGAAAGCAGACACCTCTGACTACATAAGGTATATACCTATATATATATTCATGATCGCTAAAAACAGCAGAGTTTGAGTTTGAGATCGATAGACATGAAACATAACAAGGTTCCCTCTTTTTGTGGCTCGCATATATATATGTATATATATATATATATATATGTATGTGTCTGAATCGGCCAGATCGAACTACTAGGGAAATTAGGGCCTTACCCAATATTCTTTATCTGGGAACGAACACACTTCTGTGCCATGCATAAGCAAGGGTATTTTGTTTTCGGCTTGCTGTAAGTAGCTCTTTCTTTGCTTGAATTCCTGTCTGTCTGTCTGTCTGTCTGTCTGCCTGTCTGCCTGTCTGTGCGCCTGTCTGTCTGCCTGTCTGTGCGCCTGTTGGTTTGTCTGGCATAATCTTGAGTGCTGGCAACGGCATCGCTTTTATAAATGAGCACCTTCCATTTATGTCGATTAGCGTTCTCATTTCAACTTCGCATTCGTTTGGGCCGCGGCTTAATTCAAAGCGAATCCAACACGCTTCAGTATGTGCAATTGGCCCCATATGGCGGCCGCATTGGCTGTTGCCCTCTTTTGACAGTTGCTGCTGTTTAATCACGCCCATAGAGCGAGCTACCCCCTACCCCCCGCTCAACAGCGAAGCACCCACAGGCCACCCTCATGCATATTGAGTGCTCGGATCTGACATTCGATACACATTCATCGCACCTTTTTAATTGCTGACATTTATTGAACGCTTGCCGTGTGTTAAATCTACCGTAAGCACACAGCAGAAGGCACCTGAATGGCGTGCGTGTGTATGGGTGCGGGTGTGTGAGTGTGCGTGTGAGTGTGTGTGCCTTTGACTTAAGTGCAAACTTATGCCAATTATGTGCAGCTTTGGCCTGCCATGTAGCGCTTCCCCTTTGCCATGAAACTTTACACACACAAAGAGTAGGCGAGGGGTGTTAGATGGCGGAGTAGAAAAATCACAGGTAAAATGCTTTAGTCGGGAGTGCTCGACTGGAAGATGCCCTAAGCTCAGCGCCAAGCTGAGCTTTAGCTTAAAATTATGGCATACAAAAGTGTGAATATACCAAAGCGCAAGGCTCTGCCTTTGGATATAAGCTGTTTTCAATTTTAGGCGGAATCGGGAAAGGTATTCAAAAAATAAATTATTTTAATATGTCAATGCTATTATTAATTATTAATTATTAATTATTAATTATTCATTATTCATTATTCATCATTCATCATTCATCATTCATTATTCATTATTCATTATTCATTATTCCTTATTCATTATTCATTATTAATTATTAATTATTAATTATTAATTATTAATTATTAATTAGTCATTATTCATTATTCATTATTCATTATTCATTATTCATTATTCATTATTTATTATTTTTTTATTTAAGGTCGACATAATAAGAAAAAATAAAGATTTTAATCTAAACGCCCAATCAGAAAGCACACATTTCTAATAAAATCACCGACACGATGGAGTTAGCTGATTTACCCATCCGGCGGGACTAGATCGTTTTAACCACGTCCGCCTTTTCAAGAATATATACATATGTGATGGATGAGAGAGATGCTTACGTCTGCGTGCTGTTACATACATTAGCACAAAACCAAT